AAAAAATATATATTTTATTGATTTTTTACAGAGAGGAAGGGAGAGGGATAGAGAGTCAGAAACATCGATGAGAGAGAAACATCGATCAGCTGCCTCCTGCACATCCCCTACTGGGGATGTGCCTGCAACCAAGATACATGCCCTTGACTGGAATCGAACCTGGGACCCTTCAGTCCGTAGGCTCTATCCACTGAGCAAAACCAGTTAGGGCCCTAGATTTTTTTCTATACAAATTAATTCTAACCTCAGCCATAAATGTCTTTGACTTGCTACATTGATGGATATGATCAGGATATCAGGGCAGCCCTATTGAGTAGGTAATACTGCTATTGCTGCTGTTGTCAAAACTGCCTTGTGGTAAGGTAGTAGGAGGCATCTCAACAGTCAGTTCATCTGTAAATTAGTGATAAAAATTCTATTTTTTTTTTTGGGTTGTTGTGAGGACTGGAAGATAAGCTAACTAGGTGCCTAGCCATAAGACCAACTATTCAGAAATGTGACTATTATCTTACTGTAGTGTTGAATTACATTATTCCTTTGGTTTAGACTCTCTACATATATATCCCTTGTTTTGCCTGAAATATAAAAAATTTAGGAAGGAAGTATATTCTGGAATCTTTTAATATTTGAATTTTTTTTTAAAAAAACCAATTAAATGGTATAAAAGTAATAGCCAATAATAGCAGTTACTCTGTGCCTGGTACTGTTTTGAGCACTGTTATATTTATTGACTCATTTTATCCCTACAGCAGTTTTCTGCAATGGGCATTCATATTATCCCCATTCATTTTACCGTTGATGAATTTTACAGTTGATGTAATGAATCCAGATGGAAAAACCTGCTTTAGGAAGGGAATCTTAGCATATTCACCTTAAGGATATTCACAGTAGCCTATCTGAATTAAGTTTGGTAGATAGGAAGGATCCAAGCAGGAGCCTATTAGCCAGATTCCCCTAAATCCCATTGTTTCTGGGTTGCCTAGCAGGAACTTGGCCATGAGTGTGTTTTACTCTTTCTCTGCTACCTGTGAATTGCCTATCTCCTCTTCAAAATCCCAGACCCATGCATGCCCCCTTTTCTCCTTTGTCCATATAGTATGTAAGTCTATCTCCTCTTCAAAATCCCAGACCCATGCCCCCTTTTCTCCTTTGTCCATATAGTATGTAAGTCTCTGCAGCCCAGTGTGTTTTGGAACTCATTATTATGACACCCCTGATATAAGTAATAATAAACCTTGGACTTTTTCTCCTCTTAATCTGTCTCTGTTAAATTTTATTACTAGCTTATAAGCTTTATAAGCTAGAACTTAGGTGGGAGGAAAATTACTTTTTTAGCTTAGCCCCCACAATATGGATAACCTAATATGCTAGCAAAGGCTGTTGGAAAAAAGAGTCACTTTTCAGTTGGTGTCTTCATAACTCATGGCTAAGTCAGGCACTTCCAGTGCTAAGTATTTGTATTTCTAAGGGCTTTGTTCATAGCTGACCTATAATTCTACAGTTCAGTATATCTTCCTCTTTCCTCCTCCACTCCTGCCCCCCTGTCCTCTGCTATCTTCCCCTCCACTCCCTTTTGCTTCCAATTTCTCTCTTCTCTCTCTCCTTCCTTTATGAGGATAGTGCCTGCCAAAATTGGGAGTAGTTGGTGAGTAATCCAGTGACTCATGGTTTCAGGTGTTAAAACTATCTTCCTGCTGAAGCTGTGGGTTAGTTTTCTTTGGAAGCTGAGGACTGGATTCTGTCAGCTGAGCTCTTGCAGGGGAGCCATGCACTGGAAGGACATAGCCCAGGTAGGAAAGAAGTCAGATTAAAGCCTGGTTTATTTCTTTAGTTACTGTGTAGAGAAAACAACTCACATCTAACTGATCATTTGTAAATAATTATATTAAAAGTTTGTTGGGGTTTTCTGTTTGGTTGCTTTTTTTTCCAGTTCTAAAGATTCTAGTCTCAAAGCCATCTTTTCACCAGTATAGTCAATTTTTATCCTCCCAGAGTAATAGTTAAACTTGATTTCCATATCTGTATTTCCTTAGACAACAGATTACATATAAGTTGATATTCAAATGAATAACAACAACCTAAGAAAACTAAACCATGCCTACGCTGGTAGTCTTGGATCAAATTATATTTCATATTTGCTTCCCTTTTATATTGTGGTAGATTTTGAGCTATTAAACATAAACATAAGGGTCATATTGTTATCTTTTATCAGTGGAAGTGGGGTTCTTGGGGTACCGCTGGAGTAAACATTTCCAGAGGCCCTCACAAGAGGGTGAGATATGATAGAAAGCTTTATTTCCTTGGAATTATACCCCTTGGTTTCCAAAGTCCCATTTCTCTTAGTTCAGTCGTAGAAGAAGTATAGCTGGGGTTTCAGTAAAGCTAGAATCAAAGCCAGCATCTAGAGTTTCCTTTCCATGTTGGAGCCAGGCTAGCTTTAGTCCATTAGTCCATTGTGTATGGGGTCCACATGGCCATGGACCATGTGGGGGAATGCAGGGGAGCAGGAACAAAAGAGCCCTATAAGCTCAGAGTCACACGAGTCCCAAGGAGCCAAGAGCACAAGAGAGCAAGTTTCTTTGTTCAGGGAATTGAGTATCCAAATTTTGCTTGCAGTTGCCACCCCTATTCTGGCCAACCATCTCTGTCCCCAGGTGTGATTGACAGTCAAGTATCTTCCCTATGTCATCCCAACTTGACTGGGCATGCGACTATCTTCCTTTTGGCCAATCCCCTCCCCCCAGTGTTTTGTGGGGAACATGCTTATAATACCTGGCCTTCCCTTTGCTCCTTTCCTATTCTATATAATAAAAGGCTAATATGCAAATCGACCAAATGGCAGAACGACTGGTCACTATGATGCACACTGACCACCAGGGGGCAGACGCTCAACACAGGAGCTGCCCCCTGGTGGTCAGTGTGCTCCCAAAGGGGGAGCACCACTCAGCCAGAAGCTGGGTTCACGGCTCTGCAGCAGCGCTAAGGACCCCTTGGGGGATGTCCACTGAGGGGTCCCAGACTGGGAAAGGGCGCAGGCCGTGCTGAGGGGACTCCCACCCCCCACCCCCAGTGCACTGGGCCTCTAGTTATAAATAACTACTTAATTACAATGGTATCAATATTACATACTGTAATTATGGCATCTGAAATCCCATTCAGAAAGAAAAATCACACCGTGGGAACCCTGTACAACCTAAGAGAGTGAACCTAAGGCACTAAAGAGTTGAAACTCTTGGCAACTTGACTATCTGGAACTTTCACTCATCCTCCCTTCTGCTGCCTTCCTCTGGTCTTTTCACTGCTAGTTAGCATGTACTTAAAAGATGAATAGGGCAGATGGAGGAAGCGATACAAAACAGTTATTGTAAAAAAAAAAAAAAGGAGAAGAAGAAATTAAAAGGAAAAACAAAAAACAAAATAGTTATTGTACTAGTCCCTAACTATTCTGTATGGTGTTTTTATTATTATTATTATTAGTGGAGTATATAATGTCATTTTATTATTCATTTTGGTTTTAAATTATATTTTGATTTTATTTAAAGGCACAATATTTCTTTTGTGTTCATCTAGAAAGAAAATAATATTGTTTTATTCACATCAATAGTAATATATTGAATTCATTCATGAATTCAGTGTGTTTTAGAGTTAGAGATCAGCATAAATTCTGTTCAGACGGCAAACTGAGGAGATACAACCAAGATGAAAAAAAGAGAATGCATGTCTGGACTGGAAAGTTAATTATTAGCATTTTATGAACATTTCAGAATTGGTATATTACTGTCATCACAAAAATGTAATTCAACCTTTTTTTAATATGAGAGTAACCTATATACAGTTCTTTCTGGCAAATTGCTAATGATGACAAATTAGGGATGGGAAGCAAGGAAAAGGGTGTGCTCGTAAGTCTCTGAGATGGTAAATTTGTAATTTGACATGATTATTGGGAATTTTTATTACCTAGAGTGGTTATTTAATTATGTATTTCTGTTATTGTTCAATAGAGAATAGTTTCTAAAACCTTTCTGCATAGGCCCTACTCTAATTCACCACCACAAGCCATATCAAGTGGCACCTTCTTAAAAACTTTTTTCTCCTGAGTTAGATAAACTAACCTATCCCCTGCTTTGGCTAAGAGTTTTGAAGTATGATAGTTTAAGTTTTCATATCTAAGCAGCATGTCTTTTTCTTCAGCTCTTTTTAATGGTTGCTTACCCGTATGAAAGGATAGTCATTGTGTGTGTTTTGGAGTCTCTTGCCTAATAAAAATTGTTTCCTGGTTAGAACTCATAGAATTTGGCCTCCAAAAGGTCTGAACTTAGTCATTGACTTTTTTAATTACTTACCTTACTGTCTCTGTCTCTAATGTTCACATAATGTTGCCCAAGTTTATCACAGTTGCTTGTGTTTTGGAATTTTAACTCTCAAGAGTGTACACATTCATTCTTACCACTTTCAGCAGTACCTTCTCAATCTTACCTGCACCTGTCTCCAGCTACCAATAAGTGTCCCTATTAGAATCGAAAGAATTATTCCATTGCCCATGACATGATTTAGACCCAAAATTCATGGGTCCACTGTGATAAAAATTGGATTTTTTTTATCTAGCCAGTAAAATACTTGTTCTCACCAACGTTTTCAGATGACCGTAATCTTAGAACATGGGTTGGAATTACAGTGATGTCTAAATACTAAAATGATTTTTATATAATTAAATTGAACTGCAGATGTACCTTGTTTTATATAGATATGCTTGTAAACAAAAGTATGTGTGAAGAATGTAAATTAATTTATGCTTTAAACCCACTAAGGAACTTTGTTATTTCAAGATATACCGTACTAAATCCTCTAACAAAGGAAAAATACCCCAGTTTACATCTTGTGTAAATCCTTATATATATCTGTCTTGCTTAAAGCAAAGTATAATTGATTGGCCTATTGATTCTGGAAAAGTAGTCTTCTTTTGGGGTCTTTTTAACATCTACCTTTTGCTTTGATGCTAGATCGAGCGGTTGGAAGTAAGCAGCCTCGCCCAGACTTCCAGTGCAGTGGCCTCCAGCACTGATGGCAGCATCCACACAGACTCTGTGGATGGAACACCAGACCCTCAGCGTACAAAGGCTGCTATTGCTCACCTGCAGCAGAAGATCCTGAAGCTCACAGAACAAATCAAGATTGCACAAACAGCCCGGGATGACAACGTTGCTGAGTACTTGAAGCTTGCCAACAGCGCAGATAAGCAGCAGGCTGCCCGCATCAAGCAGGTCTTTGAGAAGAAGAACCAGAAATCTGCCCAAACCATCCTCCAGCTACAAAAGAAGCTTGAGCACTACCACAGGAAGCTCCGAGAAGTGGAACAGAATGGGATCCCCCGGCAGCCAAAGGATGTCTTCAGGGACATGCACCAGGGTTTGAAGGATGTGGGAGCGAAGGTGACTGGCTTCAGTGAAGGTGTGGTAGACAGTGTCAAAGGTGGACTTTCCAGCTTCTCCCAGGCAACTCATTCAGCAGCAGGGGCAGTAGTCTCAAAGCCCAGAGAGATCGCTTCATTAATTCGGAATAAATTTGGCAGTGCAGACAACATCCCTAACCTGAAGGACTCTTTAGAAGAAGGGCAGGTGGATGATGGGAAGGCTTTGGGAGTGATTTCAAACTTTCAGTCGAGCCCAAAATATGGTAGTGAAGAAGATTGTTCTAGTGCCACTTCAGGCTCAGTAGGAGCCAACAGCACCACTGGAGGCATCGCTATAGGAGCATCTAGCTCCAAAACAAACACTCTGGACATGCAGAGCTCAGGGTTTGATGCACTATTACATGAGATCCAGGAGATCCGGGAAACCCAGGCCAGGCTAGAGGAATCCTTTGAGACCCTCAAGGAACATTATCAGAGGGACTATTCATTAATAATGCAGGCCTTGCAGGAAGAGCGATATAGGTAAGTTATATGGAATTACAATCCGAAATTACTTATGATTGGGGTTCCCTTTGCTTTGGCTATTGTGGGTGGGGGCTGGCTTTTAAAGATCTTTAGTAGAGTGTCTTTTTCTGGAATGTCCAGAGCACTTTAGATATGTAATATGATGTCTGCATGAGTTCCTATCATAGAATGCAAATGACAGGCACGACAAAATTAAGTAACTCCCAAGGTTACACACCAGTGAAGCATTGTAGTTGAGAGGTGATGATTACTGTAGCTCTCCAGTCTTCCATTCTAGGTTAAGACTTTCAAATGAAGCCCAAGGTTTCTGAGGCATTTCACCTATTTGTAATTACAGAATCACAAGTCATTGCAGCCTGTATGTATACTACATTAAATTCAAAAGATTTGTTTTAACCCCCAACTCTGTATAAATCAAAGACATAGCCTGTCCAAAATGTAATGAACCGGTAGTTATTGGGCCTTAAGCACATTTATCTAGGCAGTTGGTGTAGAAAGATTAGACTGGAAATAAATCCAGATAAGCATGTCTATTACCTTTACTATGAATTGGCAAACATTTGAATGGGAGTGAACTTAAACATGTGAAACGGTTCTGCAATAGTTAGAGAATTCTCAAAGGGGTAAATGCTTTTAGTTATAATCTGTGCTAAAGGTAGAAGCTAATAGCTTTTTTGTTTCATATTACACTGTATATTCATATTAGACCATTCTTAGTTATCTTCAAATGTGTGTCTTTTCCTCTTGTTTCCATCACATGCAGATAGAAAATAATGTCCACCATGTAGTACTTAATCAGATCCAAACTTTGTCAACCAGAGACAAACCACCTCACTGATACAGATTAAGGGCTAATCTCATGGGAGCCACAGGTTGGGTTAGGCCTTGAAAGATGTTAGTTCTGGTTTTGTTCCAGTTTCTAATGAGAGGGAATCCTCAGTAATTTTACTATATCAAGGGTTGAACAGGCAATCTTTTAAGGTCCCTTTCACCTCTTTTTTTTTTAAGTGATTTTTTTAAAGTTTGTTTTTATGAAGTAATCTCAGGGCCTGAATAAATTATTCATGTGAATCAGTAAGATGAGTGAAGAGTTGCAGCAGCAAACTCTTTCACATGGTGAAAATGCTAATCAGTGATTCAGTCCTGTCTGTTATCTTCACTCTTCCATCCTTTAATTCAAACTTAAGACTGTGAGAAAAGAAGAGAAGAGAAGAGAAGAGAAGAGAAGAGAAGAGAAGAGAAGAGAAGAGAAGAGAAAGGAAAAGAAAAGTGTGGGAAAGAGAAAGGAAGTTCTAAAAGCAAAAACATTACCATTCTTAATTCGTTGTTTTATATATTCTTTAGTAGAGAAGACAATATCTAAAGCAGTGAGCAATCTAACAAATATTCAAGTAGACTCAAAATAAAGCACCTGGTCCTTTGTACTATATTATATTTAAGTCTTACATTCAAATTCTTGTTCTGCCACTTACTAATCTTGAAAATTGGGCAAGTTTCTTAACGTTCCTAAGTTCTGGTTTCCACATCTCTAACATAGGAAAAATAATAGTCGTTCATAAGGTTACTGTGACATTTAAATGAAATAATTTGTGTAAAGCACATAGCTTGGTGCCTGGCCCAGTAAGTACTTTGTTGATGTTAAGTAGCAGCTGCTACTGCTGCTTTTAAAATATGCCCCTTTGAGCCATGGAGACCTGGGTGTTCCATAGTTAGTTGCTCAAAAAACCAACTGCCTGCTTTGACCCTTTTATTTTAAATGGATAGCAAAACATTCCAGTTTTTAAATTCTTCCAGAGTTTAAAAATTCATATAGAGTTGTTATGTCTTCAAATCAGATGTAGGCCAATGTGAGAAAGTCAGAGAGGAAAAACAGGTCTCCCAAGACCCACCTTTGTATCCATTTAAAATAATTCAGAGACAGGACAGAACTTTAGCTACATCCCCAGTCTACTTCCTTCCTAGACAAAAAGCCAAGCCTCCAGGAGAGTAGAAATAGAAATTAGAAGAGAGAGACTCCTGCAGGCTTGTCTTTTTGTCTAGGTAGGAAGTAGCCTAGGGATGAACTCAAGGAACACTTTTCTAACCAAGAACCATTAATGTGTACATGGCTGCTCTAGATGCATTTCTGATTATTTTCAATGCTTTCGTTTATTTTACTAACTAGAGGCCCAGTGCACAAAATTCATGCACTCAGGGGTCCTTCAGCCCAGCCTGCGCCCTCAGGAGCACTTGGGGGATGTCCGACTGACGGCTTAGGTCGCTCCCCTAAGCCGTCAGTTGGACATCCATAGCGCTACCGCAGAGGCAGGAGAGGCTCCCACCACCGCAGCTGCGCTTACCAGCTGTGAGCCCAGCTTCTGGCTGAGTGGTGCTCCCCCTGCGGGAGCACACTAACCACCACAGGGCAGCTCCTGCATAGAGCATCTGCCCTCTGGTGGTCAGGTCATAGCAACCAGTCGTTCCGCCGTTCAGTCAATTTGCATATTAGCCTTTTATTATATAGGACTAGAGGCCCAATGCATGAAATTCATGTGAGAGTAGGCCTTCCTTCCCCCGGCTGCTGGCACCGGCTTCCCTCTGGCCGCCGGCAGGCACCTGGGACATGGCCTTCCCTTGCAGCCCCGGCTACATCCCGAAGGATGTCGGTCTAATTAGCATATTACACTTTTATTATTATAGATTATCACAGTTGACAGGAGGAAGGTCATACACAGAATTGCTGCTTGTTATTTTAAGTGATGGGGGAGGAGGACACTATCACTAACAGCATTTGCTAAACTCCTGTGATGTGAATAATGCTAGGTGCTTTACATATATTTGCTAATCCTCACAATAGCCCTGCAGGTGGATTGAATTATCCTTATTTTACAGATAAGGAAATTGGCCCCAGTGGGGTTTTAAAATTTGCCAAAGGTAGGTCACTTGGTAAGTGGTAAAGCCAGGAATCAAACCCAGTTTTATCTGATTCCAAAGCCAGTGTTTTTTTCATATCAGGCCAGTTGTTTTGTTTTCCAAGCTTAAACCTAAAACCTCTATGATTGAAAGACTACTTTTATAGTCTAGCTCTAAGAAACCTGGACTTCATTGGCAATGGGTATTGGACCTTTTCCAGGTTTCACTAAAAGTCAAGTCACTATTTTTAACATATTTTGGAAAATTCTGTAAATGCATGAGCTCTGGGAAGTTTTCTCAAGCTAATACAACAGTGTAGATATGTACTAGAGGAATATATAAAGAAACCCTCATCCCCATCCTTATTGTCCCTTTTCAGAGTTCCTTCTCAATAATGTTACTTAATGTGCTTCCCATTGCTCTCTACCTCAGTGACTAGTGCCAAGTCAGGATTCTTGCTCAAGATCATCTACTTACTCTGGAAAAATCAGAAGCATTAAGGAGCCTATAGAGTACAGTCAGTTTCTTTCTTTCTCTCTCTCTCTCTCTCTCTCTCTCTCTCTCTCTCTCTCTCTCTCTCTCCATGTAATTGTGCCATGACTGAATAGTACTTTAGCCACCCACATGCACTTAGTCCTGGAAGCCATTGTAGCAGAGCTTGGATCTAAACTCCACCCCAACTTTTGACTAGTAGTTTAGAATTTGAGCTTTGCATTGGGCACTCAGATATGAGTGAGATTATTTTTGGAAAGGTAGGAGACAAGGTTTAGACAGGTTTTTAGTGATGGGATCTGTACTGACTTCATATTCTTCTTGTCTTGCTAGTAGTCTTTTCATCCCATTTAAGTATTATTGTAGATCTGTTAGTAGCAATGGAGTATTCACTTAGTACTTCAGAGATAAAAGGAGCCCTTAGATATCTAGTTTAATCTTGTTCTACGAATTAGTACAGTGAGACCTAGAAAGATAAAGTGCTTTTGCCAGGTCACACAGTAAAATGGTTTAACTTATATTTAATTTGCTGTTTAAAAACTGGAGAACCAGTCCTATTTTCATAGTGAGTATAATATATTAATGAGTTACTGTAGGAAAAAATTCAGCTGTGGCAAAATGCGTTGTAAACAGGAGAGAACTAGGAAAACAACTTATAGACAGTTTTACAGGTTCCTTTTGTAGTTTTTTCCCTAGGGGATCTGGCCCAGAATCCTACCCATCTACTGCCTGTTTAAAGCAGTATCATGTAGGGCAGGGATGTTGATGAAAGCTTCTATTTAAAGGGGATTATTGTGCTTTAGAAATTGGCTTCTGAAATTATATTAAGCCCAGAAATATTTTAAATTGCACTGAGTCATAAGAGCAAAAATACAGAAGGAAGCAGTCACCATTAGCAGTCATCACTTGCAGTAGAACAGTCAGTAACTAGGCTAACCCAATTAGATACAGGCCATTGAAGTTCTAACTAAACAAATTGTTGTTTAAATATAATTTTACTTAAAATAAAGTAATTATCACTGGACATAAGACAGATATAGCTATGTTAGCCCCTTTATTCCAGGTTTTAGCCCTGTTTGTCATCTAGCAAATTAATCAGAGAATCTCCAGAAGATATGTAGACTAGGTTTGGCCAACAAATTTGAAATAGAAACTGAGAATATTGGATCAAATTAGCTCTTTGTTTCTAAGAGAAAAAAGCCCAACTAGGAGATGCTCTTAGGAAGGGTAAGACCTTTCATAAAAGAAATTTACAGATGAAGCTCCTCCCAGTTTAGCCACTAAAAAGGTAATGGAGGAAAAATGGGGAGGAAGGTTAGAGTAGGGAAGAAAGGGAGAGGAGATAAATTACTTCATTAATAAATTAAGGTTGGAGGAAGACCTTATGTAACTCATTTAAGCCTCAGTTTCCTCTATAAAAACAAGATGATGATATCTATTGTACACGTTGTTGAGATTATTAAATGAGATATGGTCTGGGGTGTACCAGGATGTTAAAAAGCTATCCTTACCAAGTCTGAATTACCCAGAAAGCCCTTCTAGCTTTTATTTATTCCCTATATACTTTAGGCATCTGCTGTCTCTTGTCTTTAAGACATGCACTGCCCTAAAAG